AGCGACTGTATTCTCCATGACACAGGCAGTCTGTGGTTTGTACTTGTTTAACTTTTGTCAAGTTTCTGAACAGATATGAAGAGCTGTGAGCTCTGAGTGCTAAGAGCTAACGGCTGTGTTGTTTTTCTGGGGCTCTCATTGAAGATGACGTCACGGCTCCGCCTACACTGCGTTACTATAGTAACTACCCCAGTTCGTAAACTGTAATGGAAGCGCAGCATTAAAGTGAGCCGGGCCTAATAAGGCCTAACCAAACCGAGCGAGGCCGAGCGAGGCCTGCAGTGGAAACGCGCCATTAATGTGGAGAAAGAGATGTCCTGTATGGGTTGATTGTGCGTTGATCTGTTGGTAATGCTTCAGGGTTCCAGTGGGCATGTAAACAAATGCATAATGCTGCGCTATACTTTGCGGCCTCACCCGGTTGCATAGCGACGCTTATTGTTTAGGTGTCTTTTAATAAGCAGGTAGTCATATCATTAGCTAGAACTAGCTGGATCTGATCGATATGGACATAAACGTGAGTGAAGTCTAATCTGATAGGAGAGAGAGATCAGCTGCTGCTGACGAGTCGACACGCAGCTCTGCATGATCACATGCAGCGGTGAGCAGACAAAACACACACGTAGCTATTTTAATGACCTCTCAAACTACCTAAACTAGTTATAGATATGTTTAGTTTTACTGTCGGGTCACTCATTACTGATCCGCGAGCTGCATGATACTGACGGGTTGTCAGGAGAGGGAGAGAGCGCTCCGTTTATTATTCCCGTGTTATTGTAAATTACTGAACACTTTTGAATAATGTAGTTAATCTACTATTATTAGTTTGTTTAATATCGAATCATATCAATTTGTTTTAAAGCTCAATAAATAACAAAGACCTTTGACCGGCACTTTTCAAATTTTGTCCGGAAGATTTAAACTTTAACGGACATGTTGACCGGCGAAAAAATATTCTAACGGGAACTCTGGCCTGCTGCAGACCAACGGGTATTGAAATTGTTTCATTTCAGAATCAATGTGTAATCTGATCAGTTGCTGTGATAGCACTATTAGAACGAATATCAACCGACAACAATTAGTCAAGTGACTATCTGTTCAAAGTGGCAATAAACTTCAGCAAAGCCATCAGAATGTTTTAATAAAAAAGGCAATTGCAGCAACTCTAAAAGGCTAGCACTTCAAAATAAAAGCTCAAGAAATAAAACATCAATAGAGCGCCAGACTAAAAGTAGAGTGCCGCTTGCATTTCACTAATCAGCAGGCTTTGCATTGCACTCCAGCATGGGGGGGGGGGGATTTGTGAATTGCAGTTACTCTCAGCCTTCCCTGTTGCCCCATCAGGACATTAACTATTGTTCTTTTCACCGACGCAAAATGGATGGAACTGTCAAGAATTCATAATCATGTCACCAAACATTACAGGAAGTAATTAGGGAAAGTAATGCTTTAAATATATATTATTAATATATACAAGAACAAAACTAAAGTATTCTATTAGCGTGTCACTAAGGTGTGCCAGTGGAGCAGGGTACAAAATAAGCCACTTGCCAAATGCTGGTAAAAATGTAAAAGTGGCATGTAGATTTGCTTTGCAAGAGCATCATCTATTGAGTACATTGGAACCTACACTATGTTTTTTGGCAGGTGAAGAAAGCGTTTATTTCCCGGTGCAGTGAAATTAATAGGAACAAAATGTTCTCTACGATATGCTTTCATTGAATGTAATAATGGAAATTGTGTCTTGAATACTAAAATCTTGTCAGCAGATTTGACATGTTCCTTGTACTCTCACAACATATACTATGTGTGTGCCAGTATGAAAAACACAGCCACACTGTGTGTATGTGTACACAAGACATGAGTCACTGCTCCCCTGTCAAAACAAACAGTCAGTGTTTATGCAGCGTGTCACACACAACTCTAAGGGAACTAAATTACCGTGTCAACAAATACGGTAATGTGACACTCACAGAGGTTTACTATCCAATGACTACCAACTCTCAAAGATTCTACACAAAGTGGGTTTTATGAAGACCCAAAAATATCTATGTGCAAACTGTGTGTTTACTATGAAAGTAGCACTTTAAAGAATTTGGATCATATCCAAAAGCCAACATGTTAAATCACCGATGGCAACATGTGTCTTTGCATCCTCACAACTCCGGAATATAAATCCATGAGGATGCAGCATGAAAAAAGGAAATGTTCTGATTTGACTATCAAGGATAAATATGCAGTAATTACACCACAAACTGTACGCTCCCACAAATCATTGTCTGACGTCATCAGACAATTCAAAATGAACTATATTGCACCTTTAACTTCCAACAAAATCAGAAGAGCAAAGCCAGCTTTGACCAATGCATTATAAGAATATGCAACAGCAAAATCCCCACTCTTTGGGGTGTGTGGGAGCAAGATTACGTTTTTTAATGATTTAAAAATCTTCCATCTTCCTTTTGAAACAACCCATACTCCTACCTAAGCTGGTTAGGGATTCTCTTATCTCTTTGTAACTCTCTCCACCCCATCCTCCTGCTTCACTTTCAGTGCTTTGGGGGAGCTGGGAGAGCTGCTGAGGGAAGGGGAAACGGGTGTTATTCACATCAAAATAAAGCACAGCAGTTCCTTTAGAGTACAAAACAGGACAAGAAAACACACTGTCAGGAGATTCATTGTTAAAGACTGGATTCCTGGACTCGCTGTCAGGCTTTGCAATCCTCAAATAATTCAGATTTTATAATAATAATAATATATATATATATATATATATATATATAGAATAATATTTTCATTCTTTGCCTGCATCCATCAAAATTCTCTTAGAGCACTTTTATAATTCAGGATGATTTTTAGCAGCTTTTTCTCTGAGAGGACCAGTTTCAGGAAACCAAGAAGGCTTAGGACACGAATTACAGAAAGTGTCTTTCTGGCAACGAGAAATCTTAATATAACGAGAAATCTCGACTATTATCTATTAAATTAAAAGTTATACGGAAACGGATTTCCCTGAAGATTGCTAGTATTATTATACTCTTTTTATATATCAGAAGATCTAGCAGATTGGGCCTCCATAAAATAATCTTGAATATGTATTTAAACAAACCCTAGTAACATCAATGCCAAAGAACCACCGTGGCAGACAAAATGCACTAACAGGTTTCTGCCTAGAGATGATGACGTTATAGGTCGAAAGTTATGATGTGTTTAAATTCAGCCATTGCCAATGATTGATGCTTTTAGGATGCTTTACTGCAGCTGTTTTACCACGGTCACATGACGGCTCACTTTCACTCGATTTAAAATGTGCAACCACAGCCCCAAGGGTCTTTTAAAAGTCCAGTTTCTCCTGTTTGCCAAGTGTAACTACAGTGTTGTGTATATTGCAGTGCTACCAAACACAGGTGACTACACAGCAGCACTGTGACTGAGTGTTTTTATTTTAAAGACTTGCAGAAGACGCAAAACCGTAGTAAAATACTTGCATATTAACCGCTACTGGTAATACCGTTTACCTAAAATGTTTAACCCATCCATAGTACCATTCACACCTAAAAGTAATTCCACGGTTGTTTTTATCTATGTAGATAGAAGAGGATTAGTATAAACTTACAAGGGCTTAGGATTTACAATCTCTGCATTTCTTACAATTCAAAATGATAATATCTGTTATGAAAAGGGCCTGCTGCTATAACTAAAGCCAAACATGTGTTTGCTTTTGTATAGACAGAAAATACAAAGATGTTTTACTTATGTTTGATTTTTTTTTTTACCACTGACTGATTGAAAGTTAAAATGTCCTTTATTGCATAGTCAACTTTACTTTTGTTACAACAGTAAAGCTTATAATGATTCTTTTGAGGGCTTGAGACCCTCTCAACACCAGTGTGGTCTGTGAATATGTCCAACTGGCCAAGTGTTCAGGGTGATCCGAATCTTCAACTACATCACGATTCCTAGATAATGTTTTTAAAAATAAAGAAAACCCTGCATGTTGTGAGGCGAGATAGAAACCAAATCTCAAACTGATCATATGTGTCTGTAAGTTTACTGTGGTACCATATGCAGACAATAGGGAAAACTATGAATGCTGTACGCCTTTTCATTAGTGGCTTTAGAGAGCGAAAACTCAAATATGTAACGTCACAAAATATGCCAGCATTTTTGTTACACACTAATGTACTGGATAGTGCATTGTGTTACATTTGACATAATGTACAATATATGAAGTGAAAAGGAGACTGCCGCATTCTGGTATAGCAGTCAGAATTTTCAATACTAAAAAACACAATAAAAAAAGTGCCAAAACCCATAAATTAGAGACTTCGAGATACTTATTGTTGACAGCTTTGATATTTGTATCCTTAACTAGTCACACCATAGTTATTTTTGGAGTCCCACTGGATCTAGTTGCAGACAATTCAATACTCTTACAAACCCTTTACCGTCTTGTACAAGACTGCATAAAATAAGGGTGGTCGACGAACCAGTATTCACAGGGGTAAGTGGGATGTCTAAAACCAAGAACTAGATAATGTGGAGGAGTTTATAGGCTTTTTTTCTGTTAATTTTATTGTTGTTGTGATTAATATGACTCTATAATATACATGTTCCTCTTTGTTTACATGTTAGATTCATTTAAGAATGTGTTATAGAACCTAGATGTTGTTGGAATTATGTTTAAATATGTTTAGTATTAATCAGACGACATGTGATTAGGCAGTTTGTGGCTTAAACAGATGTTCTTTTATATAAATCAATAACTGTTCAACCTAATGCTTACAGTCTTATAATATATGACTCTAAAAGAGAAATTGAAGCATGCTTTTAAAGATTTACTAAATATCTAAAAACACTTGTCGGCCTCCCTTTTTTTTAGTAACAGAAATGCTCATATTTATATATTTCTCATGAGAATATGAAAATAGGTTTTGACCATTGATGACCATATCTTTATTCCCTTTTACCTGCCTTATCCTTCATAGCTACATACTTACTTTTATAGCTTTGATTCCAGATTTGGTGATCTGGGTCATCTTGGCCTTGGATATGGGTGGCTTGTACTCATTCAATGAGTACAGCTAAAAAAATGAAATGAGACAAAAGACAAAACAATGTGTTATAATATGTAACTACTAAAACATAACATAAATCACTAAACTAACCAGCAGTAGCCCAAAGCATCATCCCCTCTCGTCTGTGAACCTTCATTTTGAATATTTGTGGTGAGAGCCACCGGGATCATACTGAGACGATGTAACGATAGTCGTCTTGTCTCTGACTCATGTTATTTGTTTTGATTCTATCATAATACCATACACGATGTAAATGCTGTGGAATCATATTCGTGTTGTAAATTACGAGTGCATGGTGAGGTCAGCATTAACCCTGATATATATTGCCAAAGCACAGACTTTGTTGTCAATGCATTCAAATGGGTCAGCTATTAGCTGTTAGCCTTCTAATGGCTAGCTATATAATTGAACAAGGTTATCTCAAGTCATTTGTATTCTGTGCAACAGCTACGTTGCAGGAAGCTAACGCTAGTACGGTCAGATTTAAGTGGGAATTATTATCTGGTAAAAGGGATTTGAGTGCGGAGTAGTTCACGCACGGCCATATTAGTTAGTTAGCACTCCAAGTTACGGTTTGGCTAACTTGTTGTAGCTAGCGGCAGCTAGTTAGTTAACGTTAGCACCAGTGTGGAAATATTTGCTCATTGACTGGCAACCAAACAAGATGTGCGTTGAGAAATATATTCTCTTCACAACTATAGATAGTACAGTTAATATAATTCAGACTCAGAATAGCGTAACGTTATCGCTGTAATGTTGTGAAAAGCCTGAGGCCTTGTGTGGGACTGCCCTCCTCTCCCGTTCTGCTATTTGATGCTAATGTTAGCATACGAGCTAGCGCAAACGTTAATAAAACATTTTCTACTCTCGGTGCTTTCAAAGTTGCGAAACGGGTCAAAACAAACCTCATTGTTAAATGATTTGACGGCCTCCATAGTGTTGCTCGTAGGTGACTGCAAATGTTTAAAGATATCTCCTCAATAACCGGTTACAGACATGCATGCTCGACGTTTGGCGAGATGGAGGAGACTGCCAATATGGCGCATAACCTCAATAGGACAATCTGTAGAGACCGACGACCCCTAGCGTCAGTTTCGGGAGACTAAAAGAGTACCAAAAGGTCCCTTTGCTTTCTTGTAGCTAAATAAACATCACAAGATTTGTTGTACACGAAGTCAGAATCATATGTTTGCAATGACCAAATACCATTTTACATTTTTTTGATAACACTTTATTTCCCTGTATACAAATAGGCACAATCTGAAATTACTTTCATACCAGAATCGAGATCACAGAGAATCAATGTCACACATCCATATACAAATATTCACAGTTAATATTTAACATGAACAACATATAAAACATGGATTATAAAAAATGCATCTTTGTGCCTGGAGCTTGGTTTGGCCACCTTCTAGCTCTCCTAAACCTGTTGCTCTCTGGAGCTGTGGCTGTGCTTATAAGTGATAGAGGGGAAATTCTACGCTATAAAAGCCTGCGGGTGGTCTATCTCTAGGACAATATTAACGTTTTTTTTCCCTGAGAATTTTCAGTCATGTATTCTATGCTAACAATACTACTACATCCTACCTTAAGTCAAGTAGACAATATATGTTAGTATTAAAGTATTTTTCACGTCAATATAAATTAAGTTGTTGATGTTTGTGGTTGAAAAACTCCAAAGCAGGTTTGCATTACGGTTTTATGTTCTAGATTTGATTTATTATGTCTTTGCTTTAAATTACGTTATAGTACAAGTAATAGAAACTTTGACTCTTTAAAAGTGAAAACCCAAAAGTTATCACGACAACATTTATTCAGTTAGTGCTGGCCCCAGTGTTCAGTGTGGAATGATAAGTAAGATATATCAGTTACAGGGCGAACAACATGCATCAATCATTTAAAACAGTCGCTGTAAAACACATGTGTAACAGGCAGTGAAGGTGCATGGCACCAATAATTGACTGAACAGTAACAGTTAAAATGTGTTTACTACTGATGAAGTCAAAGTAGATAAAACATACAGTAAACACAAGTGTTTCCACGCAGAAAACAATGGATCCATTATTACAACGTACTCCATCATTCCAAAAATATGCACAGGTTCACATAATTACATCATAAAAACAATCTGTAAAATGAGCTAATCTTACAAATTGAACATTAAAAGTAATACTAAGACACGTTTCACATTTTAACGCGACCTGCTAATCATATAATGTCCAATTAGGAACTAAAAACACAACTCTTATTGATCCAGTTACTTGTTGAATAGCACTTACAAACCACTGATATGGAACAGTAGTCTCAATTGAAAACAGCAGTGTGTGTGTCCACAGTATGTGAGTGTGAGGTCTCTGAGTCCAGTAAAAGCAGTCATGAGGAGTCCTTATAAACTGGTCTCGACCACAGGAACAGCAATGACTGACGCTGCAGCTTTTGTGGCCTCTGGTTCCACCTGCTGGTCATGTTTAACACAGATCTCCTGCAGCAAGGGTCCATTGACTTCCTTCCACTCTCTGAACTTTTCTGAGGTAAGCCCGGGTTCAGTCAACACCTGCTCTATGGCATTTAGGTCTGCCTCTTTTGACTGTCCAACGAAAGGAAAGAAAAAAAAATAGGAAACAGTAAAATAATTGCACAAAGCTCCCCAATTCACAAATAATCGACATACTTCTGCAATTCACACACAAGCTGTAATGAAATGGCGTGCTATAAACAGACCATAAAACTGAATATTTACCTTTAACGTGCTGTTGAGGGTCCTGATATGGTGCAATTTATCATTGACAGTGTGGTTTTTACAGCGTTTTACAAAGGAGGCCCTAAACTCCCTTTTCGTGGATGGTTTACGGTCTCCTATTGGCGAGAGGCTGGCCTCTTTTAGATGAATATACAGCTTCTCCATCTCATCTGAGCTGTTCCCACGATCCCCTGCAACAAGATAACACAGTACTGTATCATCACAATATACTTCACAAAGATTATATTTAGTAACTGCCTGTTTTATAACAGAAAACCTTACTTAAAGGGGCCCTATTATGCTTTTTTAGGTTTTACCTTTCCTATAGTGTTTAGGTTTTTGTGCATATAAATGGTCTGCAAAGGGTAAAATCCCAAAGTTTGCTCCAGAGGGAGTTTCTCTTCAACACACTATCCCCTTCCTGAAACGCCTCCTTTGTACTTCTTAGTTTACTTCCGCGACACAGTGACATCACTACGCAACACTCATGCTTCTATTGCATCATCTAAAACACACACGTGATAGGCTAAGGGGTGGTCCATTTCTAAGCAGTTGACCAATTATATCTGCCTTGATAAACAAAGTTGTGAGAAACAGGAAATCTTCTCTGCTAGCACCATTTTTTTTACAAGTGGAAATGACACAGTAGAAATCTAAAATGCAATCTCCTTTACATAAAATGCTAAAAAAAACAGAATTAATAAAAAAACTAAAACAAATTCTCACCTTCACTCTCAGCCCCTGAAACGACCCTCATAGCATTCCCCTCCGCAGCAGGGCTTTCTTCGTGGGACCCCACTTCCAGAGAATCCTGATGAGAGGAGCTCTCCGACACCTGGGGGTCCTCCTCTTCCTCCCCTTGTGGGAGCCGGGGTGAGTGTACTTGAACTGAGCACACCACTGCCGTTTCCCCAGTTGGAGGGGGTGCTTGGGAGACCAGGTCCAACCAGGACTGCCGGTGCTTGGCGAGCGAGGAGGTGGAGCTCTGTGATGTCATGGTGCTGACGGGGGAGGAGAGCGAGCCGGTGGCTTCGCTGGGGACTGCGGAGGAGTAGGGGGGAGGAAGTGTACCCTGGAAAACAAATTCACTACGGTCAGACTTAGTTATCCCACATCAATTCTAAATTTGGCTCAACTTGTATTAGACTTGGAAATGTGCAATCAAATGAAAAATATACAGACCTGATTTGTGCTTCCAGGTGGGACAGGTGCATCCACGGAGTCCCTCAGGGTTTGTTCAGAGTACGGTGGAGGGGGAATCTCTGTGCTTTCAGCTTCTTCGTGGTCACTGGCTTCACTGTAACACTCTGCTTTGAAGACACACACAAAGTGAGATTTCACAACATGATACATAAAGCCAGAATCCTTATCTTGCATATTTCAGATCAGCCTCATCTTATTTTCCCTCTAGCCCTAACCCTCTCGTTGTTGCTTAATTGACTGTTATATACTGCTGGTAAGGGCTGCAAGTGTTCAACAACTGCTTCTGTAGCAGCTATTGAATTAATTCAGAAAAGCATTTATGTGAAGCTTTGAAAAAGGCCCCTTCTCTAAGTAATAAAACATTTTGTTGTTGACAAAACAAGAGCAGAAAATGTCTGATTGTCATGGGTTCTCACCAACTGCCGTGTTCTGTTCTGTTGGCTCATACTGAATGGAGGCTAACCCGAGCTTATTTAACCACCTAAAGAAAAAGAGTATTCAGGTCAATTACATTTGACAAAACAAGACAATACTTTTTCAGGATGAATACATACAATGTTGAACTCTTATGTGACTTACAGGTTCATGTCTTCATGGCTCTCAGCAGCGAAATAAAACATCATGACTTGTGGGTGGCAGGCCTTGAATGCACTGCATGAGAAAAAGTCAATGGAACAGTTTAGGCATAATGAAAGGAGTTTCTACTGGAACTTATGTAAAGTGTGAAATAAACGATATCTTTATTTCACTTCATTAATCATTTTCCGGTGGTTTCAAGACTATAGACCGTCTATCTTTCTAGGTCATCAAGGTCTTTTAATAGATAACAGATATTTCCTTTTCAATTAGAACCACTGGTGGTGTGTGGCTTATAGAATCTGACTGAGATGAACCGGAAACTACAAGCTTACTGTTTCTTCTTGCATTCTATGGCTCGGTCGATCATGAAGTTTGCGAGGTCAATGTAGCCCTCAGCCTTTTCCGCCTGCGACACACAGATTGAACAACAGTGAGCGTTAAAACGAAGCGTAAAAAGTCAAAACCACTTCCTTGACAATGACACCTGCTGTTTGAATTGCAGGAGGCTAACTTCTTCTATTTTCTCCCACTGTGTTATGGTGACAGACTAGATCAGATGAGGACACGGTGCCAGTAAATCAGGCGCACCGGTTACATGATGGCAGTATCGGATTCTGACAGGGTTATTAGTGGCACCGTCACATTCAGGAAACTCAGTGACACTGTGTGCCAGCTCCTACAGAGACAGCTGTGGCAGAATGACTCATCTGCTGCCTTACCAGTGGGCTTGTGTGACACAATAAGTGCTGTGCTGGTGATGTGTTAGAAAAATGCTGTTTCAAGGTTGTTTTATTGGGGTTTTGCTGTAGTTTGTAAAAAGAAATTAAGCAACTACTACTGAACTGAAATAACATTAGAGCTGATACAATGGATGGATTTGTGCCTGTGGCTTTGTTTTGGCTTAATGTTGCAAGTAAGACACTGCAGTACTTTATATATAACTTTAAAAAAAAGAAAGAAATACATCAGGACAAACAGTGTGTAGATTCTCATTTAGAATAAAATGATGGATCTTGTTTAAAACATTTGTAAAAAAGTAATTTTCGCAAGCTTGCATGAGAAAAGAAACATGTCTATATAATTATATTATATATAATCCAATATGATTTTTTTCAAATTACAGTCAACATATATACAGATCACAATTGAATGCATGTCACTGTTTACTGCGTCAAACAGCAAACAGATATGTATTATTTACAACTCAAAAGAGTGACTTCATTTTTGTTGAAAGTTCATGAATTTTTAACACGGTTTAAACCAGTTTTCTTTACCTACGCTGCATACCTCCACTGTTACAACACACAAATAAATGTAAGGTCCAATGACGCACTTGGTGTAAGCCTTAGTCACTGCAATGAATATGGGCATTGTAGTTTATTTTGAGATAATCCCAAATGCATCATCCTGCTGTTTTATTACTCACTACTAGAGCACTAAATGTATACATCCACTACCGAAGATAGTCCCCTACAAATGCACGTATTACTCCTGTTTGCCAAAAGCTATAAAACAATATATATTTATTTTCATGTTCAGGTTTTTGATCCACTGACAAAATCATAGTTGGTTTTTGATTGTTTCCTGGGATTTGTTGACATAATAGAAATACAGAATATCCCCACCCTTATTATTTAAAACAGCAGCATAGAGGGGAGGGAGAATATTACCAATAATATTGTAACATTTATAAAATAAAATATATATATTATATATATATACCTAGTAATGTGCCAACCAGAAAGAAGAACATAGACAATTCGAAAGAGAAAGGAAGTTCAAAAGTTACCAAATCAGACAGATAAACAGAAACTTGAGATTAGCTAGTGGTTTGCAGAACTAAAGATGCTGACGTTTTCTTGTGCACAGTGATGAGCTTCGTGACAGAAGCTAAACATACATGCATGCATCATAAATGGTGTTTGACTCACCAGCTGGTTGTTGTACCAGTACAGAGCCGTCTTCTTCAGCACAAACCAGTACTTCTTCCATTTGATGCCCAGGAAGCCTTTGCTCTCTTTCTTCCTGTACAGCCAGCCCTGGTGGTCCGGCTGACCCAGCTCTTTGACCGAGATCCGCCTCCTGCTCATTGTACCATTGCCTGTGTGCACAGAAAACTAATTAAAACACTGACACCTCCTCCCCTTTTTGTCCGCAGAGAAACAAAACCAGCTTTGAGCGTGAATATAGCGTTAGAGGAAGCAACAAGTTGCAAAAACGAAATGTCAAACAGACCAAACATTTCCATTCCAGTCAAAATAGGCCAATGCTTTCTGTCAATAAGCAAAGACAATTCTTCAAATAACACCTACATCTAGAATTCAAAAGTGAACGCCACATTTAGCCTACCTGTTCCAGTTATGAATCAGCAAGATATAAATAACAACATCAAATATTGAGTTATCCTCTCAAAGACACACACGCAGAGGGCTTAAATAGCGAAGTGAGCAGAACTGATCGAGCCTAAAGACCTCTGCACACACCAATTGCCCTGCCACTCCTAAAACGCCCACAGAGGGTCGAAATTACAGAGACAAAGTGATGGGAGCCCAACAGTGACAACTTACCTCCTCGAATCTTCCTCTTGGATTTGTGTCGGAGGGAGACCTTCAGAAGGAGACAAACGTTAGGTCAGAGACGAGAGGAAGACATGTGCTAGTCTCAGACCTAAACGCTAAGAAGAAGAGGCTCTCTATAACATCCTGTTTCTCACATCGATTGTCACATACGTTTTCTAGCTGCTGTTCTCTCTATCTCCCCACACACACATTAACACACCCCCACCACTCCTTTGTAACATCCTGAACTGTGACTCTCTCTGCTCTTTTCTCTTAACCTTCAACTAAATACACCAAGAGAAACCAGACTGCACAAAAACCAGCTAGGCGTACACACCCCTTGTTCCTATAAATATTTAACTTTTCCATCATAAAATAGAAGAAGCAGAAGTAGTTGAGAGAGAGAGCCGGGTATCTATAACATCATTTGCGAGAACAAGGCAACCTCTGCCTGATTGAATGTCAGAATTTAAAAAAGGAAGGAACACTTACAGGGTTGTAGTCATCGGCAGCCATGGAAGGAGGCACAGATATGGGGAAGGCAGCCTGTTGAATAAAATATAAAGATATCAACAGATGCTTAGGTTGACAATTGCACGACACACAGATTCATAGGCAATGCTTTGCTCTAACATGACAAGAGGAAGTGATGTCATGGGCACGTTTCTCTATTTCTGTGAAAGAAAGGGAGTAGATACCGTTCTTCTATGGAATGAGAAGCAGAATTAGAAGAAATAGGTTCAAATCAAATTTAAAAAAAAGGTTGAAAAGTGAATCCTTATGAAAAGTACCTATATTCACAATGTTAGTGTCACAATAATCAGTGTCAGCTGTTTTGCATAAAACACATACCCATCTACAGTATCCTAAAGTAATAGCCTTAAAATATATTAAAAACATTACTTTTTAGCAGAAAGAAAAATAGACATGTTGCAATATTTCAAGCTAAATGGCCATTGACATGAGACATATTGAGAAATCTTGGTTAGCATTATTGACTAACTTCCTCTGCATCCCCAAGTTCCTTTTTTTGTTAAAAGTTACAATTCTGGCTTAGAGAGACAAGGTTGACACAACACACATGCAGTACCAAACACGTCACAAATAGCCAGTTTACAATACAGCAACAAATGGGTGTAGAATCTCAAGCATCTTTTACACATCTGTGATTTGAAACCTCTCCCTAAGCGTCACATTGAGCACTTCACAAGAAAACCCAGCCTTTAGGTCAGGAAACGTAAAAGCACAGGTGGTGGTGGTCGGGTCACAGGGTCCCGAGTTCAAGTCCCACTGCAGTTGTTCGCATTCAATCACTCACCACAAACTCAATCTACAAATGTCCCCTGTGAGACCACGAAAGAAAGGAGGAAACTCATACCTGGTGCTCTAAAACTTCACAGATTCACTTCAAGTCCAAACACAGGTGCGTATTGGTATCCTCTGTTACACTGAGTTCACACAATGACAGCAAAGAGCAAACTATTGCTAGTAGCTCTTGTTTAAACTACATTTTGTGTATGTGTGAGTGCGTGGTGTCTCGTGTCTGAGTGTCACTGTGTTGCCCCACACAAATGCATCACATCTTGTTTTCCGGGTATCTGAGTTAACAGGCTGCTTGTGGGAGCTAGATGATGATAACCACATCAACCACAGTGTGTGTGTGTGTGTGTGTGTGTGTGTGTGTGTGTGTGTGTGTGTGTGTGTGTGTGTGTATCTGAGTTCCTATTTGATTTGATTTGCAAATGTGAAAGGTTAATTATTTGAGGTTGACACCGATTTGACAAGGTATCTTCACTATCGGGTTGTTTTGGTTGCTGTAACATTACTAATTAAATAAGTAAGTAAGTAACTAAGTAAATTACTCTTTGAATCTTTTTTGTTTATTATTATAAATAAACACATGCTAATCCTAACAAAAGGTAAACATTAATTTCACAAATTTAAAACATGTTCAAAAGCTGCTTGTTAAAATCAAGTAAATTAAAAAAAGTTCTTAAAACTAACCGTTTCCTTACATGTTAAATTAAATTACATAAATGTTACATCTGAATATGTGAAATACTATACGCAGTCTACAATTAAAACGACTGACATGAACATTCAAGTTTAGGAAAGTAAAAATATCCTTTAAGTCCTATAAAACTAACATGAAGTCTTAGCGTTAACCGTTAATATCAACCAACGCGGCCTGTTTGTTATGGTGGCCTAGCTAGCCACAAACGTTGCCTGTACGCAAAAAATGCAATTTTGGGCCGAACAAAAATATATATAATTTAACTGTAGGCCTACCTGCCACCATATTCTCAACGACTGAAGACTGGATCTAAAGCTCAGCTCAAAGTCTGACCAAACATTGGCGAGCATGTCGAAATAAAACAAAGAAGAAACTCGAAGAAGGCTCGGCTGGTTTCAGGTGAGCTCAGGACCCTTTAGGGTGTTACCCTCTTTCTTCACCTGAAAGGGCTTAACTCCCACCCAAACGCCCCGCGAGTGAAACACATGTTAAGTGCGTTTTAAGCATTTTAAGCATTTGCAGGCATTGTTATTGTATTTCCCTCAAGTGATTTTACAAGTTTACGTGAATACGTCCACGCAGTTCCCACGTATGTCCGCTAGGTGTCGCCAAGTTATCGCTATGAAACAGACTTTTGAGCAACAAAAATAATGGCAAAAAAATAAATATTTATTGGACAAATACATAAGAAAACACGTAATGGAGATCATTATGAGACATAATCGTGAGAATCCTTTATGGGTACCTTGAGAAATAAGGAGGAAAACAAGTATTTCACGCTACAGTCTTTTTAAGGCTGTGGCCTGACTATCAACACCCTTCACTGGTTGGGTTTGTAGCCATAACATTACTGCTTCGAGCTATATCTGTGCAGAAACTTGGATGTTCCCCTTCAAAGTTGGCCTGTGCTGAGATAGCGGTAAACCAGCAGACACATTCTTGATTCCTGCATTATTATAGTCTGCATTGCATTGCATTTCTGCCTAAATAGACAGGGGCCTCTTCTCTCTTTCCACTTGCTATTGTACTGCATCAAGTGAACTGACCCCGTCCCTTTATATCTCTCACACTGTAGCTTCCTCCCCTCCCATTTGTCACCCATTTTTTTTCATCCATATCAAATAACTCCCTTGTGTTACCCCCTCAAAAAGCTTCCCCTTTGACATTTCAATTAAACGTGTTGAATTAAATTAAAGATTTCAAAACAATTTACACTCTTCCTGTGTCTATGATAAGGGGGAAAAGTCCCAGCATGGCACTTTAGTGGGTTTTAAAGGGCCATTTAGCTGAAGCTGTGTTCGGGTGGAAGTGAGGTAATTTTGCCTGCTTCTCATGTCAAAGGCCTGAAGGATTCACGAGAATGCAAATTGGTCACACCATTGTAACGCTCAATCTCCCATCACGATCCATGCTGAGAATTGTCATGGCACTTAGCTAATGCCCAACCCCCTCCCACCCAGAAACTGTGTGTGACGGAGAGAAATGAGAGAGGGGGGAAAACAGAGTGGCTATTATTCAGCAGGGGAATCTCGTCACACAGCGTAAAGGGTGCAGGGCTGGAAATGATATCATATTCTTGCTTGCTCAGTTTGACAGCGCTGCATGCCCCTCACTTGCTGTTGCTCTGGCACATGGGCACCACCTCAGTTTAGATGTTGCTACACATGCTCACTGAGTCAGTATAGCTCTAAATGCTGTTTCGATGACTGTATATAGAGGATTTTTAATAAAATGTAGTTTTCTTTTATGCAGCAGATGTATCGGTCTATAAAGGTACACACACAAATAATCCAAAAGGAAAACAAAGCAGTAAAACACTCCATTCATAACTGTCCTCCCAATTCTTTCCTGGGTCATCTTTTTTTATATATATCCTGCTTACTGAAGTAAACGGTTTTTTTTGTAAATTATTGAGTGTTCTTGCATTTTAATGTGTGAGTTTTTTATATACCTCGGGACTGTGGGAAACATAATTTCGGTCTTTCTGTTTGTACAAACATATTTTGAGATTGACAATAAAGTTGACTTTGACTTTGATATAGCTGCTGACAGAGGGGTCAAGGTTTTCTTGTTTGGTGCAACAACAAGTGTCCATTGAACCATAAATCTGAACAAATGGGATTTGTTCACATTCCGCCATTGACTTTGGCTTAATCCATCTGACCACCTCCGGGGTGTATGTGCTGCTAAGGGATTGACAGTAACTCATTATATGTATGGCCCAGAGGTGTGTGCAAAGACAGCAAAGAGATCCTTAGTTTACCCTTTAGGTCATTTCAGTTCTACACCTGCCAGAGTCAATAGATGCTGAACAATTTCCACTTTTAGCACCTTCGATGAGGAATAGGACAAATAATCTACAGCCATGCTAGCAGCTCTGTGAGGAACTGCTTTGAGCTACATGACCACAGTGCTTATGTTTGGCCTGTTCAGCATCTTAGTTTATTGTGGTAGCACGTTAGCTTTTTGCTAATTAGCAGCATCAAACTCATAGCAAAGGTTATGTAATATTGTTTTGGTAATATTGAAACAAAAATACTGCAAGATGAAACTTTAAAGGGGACATATCATGCTCATTTCCAGGTTCATATTGGGTTTTCTACAAGAACATGTTTTCATGCATCAATGTTCAAAAAGCAAATTTATTTTCTCATAGTGTCAGTCTGAAAATACTTGTATTAATGGTCTGACTGAAACGTTTAGTTTTAGCATCTGTCTCTTTAAATATACTCAGATGGGAGCCTGTATATTCTAATAAGACTATTTGACAAAGGAAGGAAAGCCACATTTGGATGGCTTGCTGAGAACCATGTTTTCTAACCAATTGGGCAAATATCAAACTAAATTTGGTTGTCTTTTTTAAAAATGTGTTGGTTTTTGGACATTCTAAATACATAAATACAAGAAAGTGAGTTTTTCATAATATTCCTCCTTTAAAGAATCACCAAAGTTCTTTAGGACAATCCATGCAATAGTTTATGAGACATTTTTCTCAAAGTGAATAACGAAAACCCATGGGCCTACCAAAATGAGTAGGATTAATTCTCTGAGAACCATTATTATCTGTACAAAATGTCATAGTAATCCATCCAAAAGTTGGTGTGATATTTTGGTCTGGACCAATGTGGTATACCACATTGCAATAGCTAAAAGGGAAGAATTCACAGTGTCGACTCAGACTAAACATATTCAAGGCCTGCATGTTTTATTACTGCATATTAGCTCTGGTGGTTTGTGTCCAAAAGAAGGAAAGTCTCTGCGTTGTCATATCTGTGTGCAAAATAACGAGCCTGTAATTGAGGCTCTTAGTTTCACCTCCCTCTACAAAGGCTGAGAGCAAGTGGCATTCCTTACATTGCACAACTGTTTGACCACATACATTTATCTGGTGCAGGATTGATAGCATTCACTTCAGATAAACCCAACACAATATACTTACTGCTTGGGAGAAGGACCAGGATCGTATTTGTGGCTGATTATACCTGTAAGTAAAGATAATGAAAGTCAACACTTAATGATTTTTAAACGGACCATTAAAGCTGATCAAGCAGTTCTAAGACGCTTCATCTATCCGTCATACTTTAGATCAGACATTAGTGACTTCAGACTTCCAACACATACGTATTGCTTCCCAGACATGATTTTATCTTTCAGCCACAGCAGCATGGGTGGACATGAAACTTGTTACTAATGATGAAAATACTCGATATACCGGCTGGGTAACATCATTTGTTTTGTCTGTATCCTATTATCCATATTCAAGTCTGTGTCTCCTCTTTAAATTACATCTTTTTTTAAGGAAATATGGTTTATTTGCTGCATTACACTGTCAAATATTTCTACTTTCCTAGGTAACCAAATTAATCAATTTACATATTGCATGCTTTGTCATGAGGAAAACAACTTTGTTTTTGTTTCTTTACGCATTAACACGCCATGATTAATTTGACACTTGATTAAATCCGCCGTCAATCAACCCTCGCCTGCATCAGTGTCGCACGTTTATGAACCTACACCAGCGATGAGTCAACTGCGTATCTGCAAGAACTACAATAGCATCTCTCTATATATCATACATGTGAGTAATGTGTTTTGATGGAGCGTGCAGCAAACAGGATGCCATGTGTTTGTGTTTGGCTCTCAGAATAGAACTGCCAGGGAGGGCAGCAGGCTGGGTATTGTGCGAGAGGTTTAGTCATCAATCACGGTGTTAATGTGGGGAGTCACACCTCCTCGGGCCCTACATCCAAGACCAGAGAAGATACAGGTGCCACTGATGATGAAATTGCAATCCTCGCCATATTTCGCAGAAGGATGCTGTTATTTATAGTTAGAAGAGTCAGGGTTTGGTCATAACAGTGACATTTCTAAGGATTGTGCAGCGTGTGAAGGTGTCTGGATGGACTCATTGGTGTGTGGGAACCGGTCCTGAGAGATAACAATGTCTCCAAAAACACAAATATAATAATAAAAAAAAAAAAAACAAGGCTATAAAATGATTAACCATCCAAACAGTGGTGAAATGTTGGCACTTCAACAAAATATCCATTAACTCTTCTGAAGAGGTATGATAACGTTGAGATTACTACGTGTTTTAATACTTTCATCATTGTTAACTTAAGCCGAT